AATTGATACAAAACAAAAATGGAAGTTACACCCCTGAAACTAATGTTATACATCAATTATATCTCAATCTTTTAAAAAATGGAATGTTGGAAGAAAGGAGAGTTTAAAACTTCTCTATAGACTTAACATTCCTAATAGGTACCATTTTTCTTGAAGTAACACAAGTATTCTGCTTCAATACCTCCTAGTCAAATATACATTTGAAGACAAGTACTACATGTGCTTTCATATATCAGAAACTCCAAAGATACAAAAACTCTTCAAGTACATCAAGGAAAAAAAGTCGTTAATGGTAAAAGTAATCACATAGTAATTATTTTGCACTCTGTAATGTAAAACAAAAGCAATCCTGTATCAGATGGTAAGAGTAAACTAAGGACAGCCAAGTATTGATATTTGCAATTCCCAAAACTATAATTCTGAAAAGATGACCATACTTACTTCAACTCCCTCCCCCCACCCCCGAAAAAGCATAACTTATTAAATTGGTTGGTCAGATAACAAAACTGCAAAGATAATACTTGGTCAACAGCCACTCAAAGTGATGCTGTAGAAGTATACTGACATAAAAAATTCACAAGTGAAAAACCTGGTCTATGGACAGTAGGGATCCATTTGTGTATTTTTACATATGTACAAACAAAAACGTGACAGAAAAGATTAGGAAGTGATATCACAAAATACAATAGTTATCTCTGAAGGTGTGATTATGAGAGATTTTTATTTTCTTCCTTTTCTTAAAAGTATTTTGTGATTACTCCAACATGTGTATTATTCTTTCTTTTTTTTTTAAACATCTTTATTGGAGTATAATTGCTTTACATTTTTGTTAGTTGCCGTTGTATAACAAAGTGAATCAACTAGTATTATTCTTACACTAAAAATAAAAGTCAAAAATAATCTTAAAGTATTATTTAAATTTAAAGGTTTCTATTTTCTCTTCCACCATTATATTCCTGATGACCCTTAGAAAGCAGTCCTCACAGTATGAGATATTAATACCTGGTCATGAAAGACTTCTCTTAAAAACAAGGCCTATATGAATACCACCTTTTTATATAATTTTATCAATTAGATATAAGGTAATATGAGGTAGGTTCTCTGGATCTAGACTGCCAGGATTCAAATCCCAGCGACCCCACTGACTAGCTACATAATTTGAACAAATTATTTAACATCTCGTTGCCAGTTTCTTCATCTGTAAAAATGGGGCTCCTGCTAGTTATTAAATTGGGTTACTTATCTAAAGCATTTGGTGTCCGGCACATGGTAAGCACTTAGCAGGCTATTTTTATTATTAATTTCTTTTACAGGTGAGGATATTGAAGCACTAAAATCAGTTGAATCATCTGCCTGAAAACAAAGATGCTGGTATGGGGGGCGGGGTGGGGGGAGGTGTTTGGAGGAAAGAAGGAGGTAAGAGAGAAGAGAGAAGTAGAAGAAGGAGACAGAGAGAGACATATAAACACAGCTAAAACCCTGTGTCCCCTTTCCCAAATTGCTATTCTTCTGAAAACACAAATGGCAGCTGTCTAGCATAATGTTCAAGAAATATTTCCTTCCTTTCCCAACCTCTTTGTTTCTTCCTATACAGAAACAGACCTGGTTTATATTCATTCTCATTCCTAAACCACCTTCCTACAAACTTCTGTTTTAAAGTTAACTATATTTGTTCTAACTCTGTTCCAACCAAGCAGTCTTACATTAGGAAATTACACCTTGGTTTTTTCCTAGTCAAATGTTTCTGTGGAATTCCATGTCAGAAGAGACTTGCAATCTAAAAATGCTAGAAACATAGAGAACACTCTATATATTTTTTGAATGACTGTTAAGAACTCACTCTGATCCTAAATCTCCCTCAATTTTATATGCATAAAATGTCAGGAGAGGAAAAACCCTAAGTCAAGAGACCTGTGTTCCAATTCTACCCAGGCCAATAATTAGGCCAGTAACGTGAGGTTGGTGATTTTGCCACTTTAGCAAAAAAGAGAGGAGTAAGCTGTGTTACTGATAGACCCCATCTAGCTCCCAAATTCTACAGCCTCTTGAACAAACCTGAAAATGGAGAATTCACAGGCAATTTCATGCCCCCATGATGTTTCCTCTAACTGAAATCTCCCATTTCCCCTTACCCTTTTAGAGAACTCTTGTTATACCTTCCATTAACTATCCATCACTTCTTCCATGAAATCTTCCCCCTGCTCAAATAGAACACAATGCTCTGTATTCTTTGGACCCCTATGCTTGTATTGCGTCTATTACAGATGACTGTTTATACACTGTCTACCATTTCTAGAGTCTCACATCTTGCACAATGCCTAGCACACAGAAGGTACTATGGATGTGTTTAAAGATTTGAGTCTATAAAGTTAAATTAGGTTCCTGTGAAGTTTTTGTATGCACTATCTGGGAGTTTAGCTTAATCTGAAGACACACACAGGCCAATATGCAGCACAACCAAAGGTTTGTCCCAGTTAGAATCAAAGCAGTGCAAATTTATTCTGAACCAGTGCCTACGCCAGTGCCTGCACAATGAATGATGCTTTTTATTTTGTTTTGCTTTTTGCAGTACACGGGGCTCTCACTGTTGTGGCCTCTCCCGCTGTGGAGCACAGGCTCCGGACACGCAGGCTCAGCAGCCATGGCTCACGGGCCCAGCTGCTCCACGGCATGTGGGATCTTCCCGGACCAGGGCACGAACCTGTGTCCCCTGCATCGGCAGGCGGACTCTCAACCACTGCGCCACCAGGGAAGCCCTGAATGATGTTTTTTAAATCAATAATTCTTTTCTTCTATCTTAAAGCCCTCAAGAGTTATGAGTCATCAACTTCATAACCCTATCTCACATTGCCCTTATTTTTGCAGTTTCATCCACTTATAGCCGCTTTACAAATAAGCTTCCAAGAACTGGAGAGAAATATTTGTATTTAACTCCTAAACTGCAACTCTTATTTTCTCTGCTTATCTGTTGGTACAGAAATAATATTCAGGAAATTATACCAAATAATAGATAATAACCAAAACTTTGTTCTTTCACTTCTGGTAATAATTATTTCTACTTACGAGGTGTTCACTTCAGATTTTAAACTATCAGTGGACAAAAATCAAAACCAAAAATATTAGATTAACTTTTTTGGACTGTCAAGCAGCACACGGGCAAAATATCTTGAGAATTTATTAACTGCTACGTGTGACCTGACTGAAAAATTGTGTTCCAAATAGTACAAACCCTCTAATGTGCTATCTTCATTAGTTATGGCAAGATTCTTCTTATGCAGCTAATATGCTTCAGGATAATGAACTTATCCATTACATTTCTGTAATTATTACTGAGCCATGGAAAAGCAGGATACTATTGTATTTATATTCAGAAAATACCACCCAAACCTTGCCTATCCCCTAGTTTCAGCCAATTATGGTTCTTCCCTGCTTCAAACAATTTTAGCTATGAGTTCCAAGAGACAAAGGCCCATCAGAAGCAGTCAAGGACATATCTACATTGCTATTTCAAAGACAGCTTTTAAATTCTTGAAGAAATCAAAAAACAGCAATGCAAAAAATACTCAAGATGAGAAGTTTCAAGTGGAGATGCTTGGCTATCTTGATTCAAACTAAAATAGGAAGCAAAGACGTTTATGAAATCACTCAGTCCTCTCATCTAGTACTACCTATCTGACAAACTCAGAATCAACTTCTAGGATGAGCCTAAGAAAGAGGTTTCATAAGCTCAAATGTGTTAGGCAGGTTGACACAAGCCAGGCACCCCCTGTGCATATTAGAAATATTAGCAAGTCCACCTGCCGGTTAGCCTCTGTGATGGCTCAGTTTTGCTTAAACACCCTAAAAAGGATTAACATTCTAGATATAAGCTTGTGAAAATAAGGGTTAATTAAATTCTCAGGATTCAGGTGCCAATGTGATGACGAAAAATTATGGGAGGTGGGGAAAGAAGAAAATCTTTAAATGCTAATTTTCTCCACAACGGTAAAGGAGCATATGGGGTGGGTTTCAATCTCCGAGTTTTTATTAGCTTTCTAACCACAGATTAAACAGAGGTGAATCACAGCGAAGGCTTCAAAAGAGTAATTCCCCAGGTTGTAAGGTCCTGTTTTCGGAGGACCTGAGGCTTGTCTGCTGCCACCATACTCCCATCCGGCCACCCCACCTTTCTGCCCATCCCCCTCAACTCGTCTGCAATAAACGATAAGGGAAATAATGACGAGCACTAAATGTGACGTTGAGTTGGCATTTACAAATGATTTGCAAAACAACTCTCTAATCAACCCAGGGCACACTACCCAGACCCTATATGGTGGTTGTCTAAAAAGATTGAGCCCATACTCTTCAGGGTAGCACACTGGGAGGAGGGGCACCTCGGGAAAGCAAGGCGCTCCAGTCCCCAAGACCCCAGGCTGTCACCAGAGGATCCTGACGCGCAAGCAGCCGCGTTGTGTTAAATCCACAAGACTCGTCACCCCAACTTCCCACTCCTAAAACCTAAGTGGGGTATGAAAAGGGTCCTAGGGTGACGGAAGAAAGTAGAAGCTCTATCTTCTGTGCTTGGGATACAGAAATAAAAGCAATGAACAGGGGAGACGGAGGCAGACGACCGGGCACGCGTCGGATACGGGTCCTGCGCAAGAGTGGGAGGTATCTATATAGAGCGTGCAAACAAACAAACGCAAGAGAAGAGCAAGAGGAAAGGTTGGGGTGATGGAGAAATGCGGACGCAGGCATGGAGGTGTGTCGGGACTTGGGGTCCGGGGAGAAAGAGCCTCCTTGGGGGCCGGAGGATTCCCCGCCTGCTCGAAGCGGGCCGGGGAGGCGGCGGCGGTCAGGCAACGCGAGCATTCGGGGCAGGTTCCCCTAGACCTGGTGGGTGGGAACGCCCGGGTCAAGCAGCTAGGGGCAAAGCTGGGAGAAGGGTGGGGGACCCGCGGCCCAGGTCTCCTGAACAAAGCCGGTGCGCGCTGGGCCTGGCTACTCACAACAAGAAGCTCATGTCGGCCGTGGCGTGGGCTGCGTGCTCGGCGGTCGCGAGGCCTCGGGGTGGCGGCGACGTCGGCGGCCAGGCAAGGAGAAGAAGGAGGAGGAGGAGAGGATGAGGAGGCGGGGAGCGCCGGCTGCTCGGCGGCCGCAACTTGTTCGGCTTTGCTAGTTCCAATGGCTGGCAGAGGGTGCGGAAGTGGGAAGCGCAAGGCTTGAATCACTCAGTGGGAGGAGAAGCAAAAAGGGGCGGAGAAAGGGCCACTCGCCTCCTCCACAGAGAACAACCACCGCGACCGCAGCGCTGCTCCCCCACCACTTCGTCTCCAGCCCCTCGCTGCCCCTACCCCGTGAGCTCTCGCGAGAGCGGCGCGCGCCCACCCTGCCCCTCCCGTTGCGACCCAGGGTCCCCTACTTTCTGGACACCTTTGCAGCCCCGGGCCACGCCCCGCAAGTGTGCTGGGCCCACCCGTTTGGTCGAGGCCAGTCCACCCGGTTGGGGGTCGTGGCAGAGCGCTCCGAGCTGCTTAGCTGGGTTTCAGCGGTCAGGAAGGAAATTGGCTGCAACTCTGGGATGTCAGAGTCCTGCAGTGAGGGATGGAATTGCCACCAGAGTTCTGCCCACTGTGAGTGCCCAGATGAAATGTTATGGAGTCTCTCTACTACGTATGTCAAAACAGGAGTGAGTTTCATCTGGTTGGAATGGTTTGGGTGTGGTTCTGCCAGAAGAGAGGAAAGGATCTAAATGGGCTTTCAAGGCTCCTGTCGTCTTATGGGCATGTTTTAAACCCTAAACAAGGAGATGGTTAGGGTCCATCACTGTCTGAACAGGCAAGTGAGGCTGTCAGCAGCAGCTGGGAAAACTGCTGTGATGACATATCCAAGTTATATGGAGCAAATAGATTATAAAGCCTTGCCCTGGGCCCCTTAACTATGTGAAATGCAAGTCCTTCTATAAGGGGGTACTGAATTCTTTCTAGCTTCTAAAATGTTTTGTGCATCAGAGTGCTCAGTGGCTATAATGGACTTGAGCCCCATAAATGCTTAATCAGCGTTGCCACCAGCCCACCACAGCATTATCGATTTGGGTACCGATTTATTTTACGAAGAGATGTCCATCTTCTTTACTCACAACACCCGTCAAATCTACAAGTAACTTTTTCAAAGAATCTTAACAAAATTTAAATTCTGTGCAGCTAGTAACCCACCTTGGGCTAATAGACTTGAAGGAGGTGCCAATATGAAATGTGTTCTGTTGAGTTTATGTACTATTAGTTTGGCGTGTCAGTAAATCAAACCATTTTTTAAAACAAGAAAATATTGAAGTGTTGATACTATCTCAGGAACAGCAGAGGTCACTGGAATAATTTGAAAAGACTTAAGGCTCCAAAGGTGCTGGAAAGGAGGGAGAAGGAGGCGTTATCTTACTATACTGAAAATCATGGATTTATGACACAAAAGCCCTGTGTTCCAGATTTTGATATGATACAGATTTAATATACAATTCCGTAAGGGTCTTCTGACAATGACATGAATGACCAGATTAGGATATTATCTTTTATTTTGGGAAGAGTAAGTCTGTAAACCTGTTAGAACAACAGTTTCACCCCCTTTAAAATGAGCGCTTTGAATTATTACATGATCTCTAAGATATCTTCCAGTTTTAAAATTCTGTCATGCCAGGGACATCCTTTAGATTACTGGCAGACAATTTCCATCTGCTCCCTGGTTTGGTAGGCTGGCTTATGTAGCCTTGCTTTTGGTCTAACTAAATTTAAATGAATCCTATGACTCTTGAGTCAGGGCAATGATTGGGAGAGGACAGAATCTGCAAAAATACTGAGTTCTTTATCATACCACTAGGAGAATTGCCTGAAATTAACAGCTGATAAAACATAAATGTATTGGTCGTAAAAATGAGAGAGGTGTCATGTTAATAATACAAAATATAATTTCAGAGGTTAGACATTTAAATCAAACAATGACTGTCACTTAAAATTATTCAGCACTTAAAAATATTGGGCAGTTTAGAATCAAAGAGAGACTATATTCAAATAGAGATTTCTAATTCCACGTTCTTCTTCACCAATCCAAATTTCATATCACTCTCTTCCTAAAATTTCAATTTCCAAAAGTTACTCTCCTAATCAAAATCTTATTTTGTTTATGAAGCAAGATTATTAAAATTTATATTCTATGGGGCTCCCCTGGTGGTGCAGTGGTTGAGAGTCCGCCTGCCGATGCAGGGGACACGGGTTCATGCCCCGGTCCGGGAAGATCCCACATGCCACGGAGCAGCTGGGCCCGTGAGCCATGGCCGCTGAGCCTGGGCGTCCGGAGCCTGTGCTCCGCAACGGGAAAGGCCACAACAGTAAGAGGCCCACGTACTGCAAAAAAAAAAAAAAAAATTATATTCTATCCACCAGTTTCTCAAAGAAGTGGAATTATAACATGAATAGAATAGAATAGAATGTGAGTGGGTATATGCCTTCACATATCTTTAAATATTCATTCAAGTTAATTTCTTATCATAATAAACAAGTAAGTATATTTATATAAATATAAACAAACAAGATAATTATAAATTGTGGTAAGGTATAAAATAAACTGAATAATGTGACAGAGAGTAGTGGTGAAGGAAGATCTAATTTAGATTGAGTGGTTAAGTAAGGCCTCTCTAAAGAGGTGAAGTTTTGCTGAGACCTGAAGGAAGAAGAAGGAGCCAGCCTTGCAAAGAGCTAGGGAATGATCATATTCTGGTAGAGGGGATAAAAAGTACAAATGCTCTAAGATAAGAAAGAGCTTAAAGGTTCTCAGAACTGACAGGTTATGGCCTGGGCAGCCTGAGCAAGAAGAGTGGCGTCAGATAAAGCTGGACATGTAGACTGAGGGCTGGCTGGGACTCACAGCCATCTGGTTTTATTTTAAGAACATAGAGGAGTCAGCCGAGAAGTAAAATAGTAAGAAGTTAAGATAAATAATCAGAATAACATTTTATTTTTTTAATTTGGAAAATTTCAAACACATAAAGAGGGGAAGAAATTAGTATAATGAATCCATCACACAGCTTCAACAATTATCAGCTCATGATCCTTGAGTAACATTTTAGAAAGATCACTCTCCCTTCTTGTGGAGAGTGTTCCGGAGGAGGCAAACATGTCAGCAGGGATGCCAGAAGACTTATTGTAATAGCACAATTGTTTCTCAACAGCTGTGACTTGGTTTAGGGTGGTGTCATTAATAATAGAAAGAAGAAGTTAATAATCTCAAAATGAACAGCACTTGGTGATTCATTGATTATAGGGATTGGAGAAAAGAAGGAGTCAAAGACTACTCCTGTCATTTTGGCTTTAGTAACTGGTGGATGGTGCTGCCATTTAGTAAAATAGGGAAGATCTGAGTCACAATTTTGAGGTGAAACTAAAAGTTCCATGTTAGATATGTTAACTCTGAAATGTCTTTTAGACATCAAAGTTGCCATGTCAGGTAGAGTTTTGACAGCTGTGCAAAGTCTGGGGAGAGATCTGAACAGGAGATAAGAATGCAGGACACCTCAGTAAGTAAATATTGATAGTATTCGAAGCCTTAAGGTGGGCTTCCAAATAGGAATTTATATGCCAGATAAGAACAGACTTAGCAAAGTGTTACCTTTAAGCGTCTGTGTTTCTTTCTTCTCTTCCCAGATATCTCAGGTTTTTGATCACCATTTACTTCCTCTCCTTCAGTTGCAGTTATATTCTCCTTTTCCTTCAAGGTGAGGGTTTCTACAATCATAAAGAAAATGATTCATCGCATCTTTTTATAGGATAAGTTGGTCACTGCCAATGTGTTAATTAATATGTTACCCTTCTCCAAGAAAATAACAGCAGGTAAAGCCAAATTTCCAAGTAGTAGATCAAGGGAAATTTCTCCTTATAGAAGTATTTCAGTTAAAAATAATGAAATAGAGAGACTTCTCCGGTGGCGCAGTGGTTAAGAATCCACCAGCCAATGCAGGGGACACAGGTGCGATCCCTGGTCTGGGAAGATCCCACATGCCGTGAAGCAACTAAGCCCCTGCGCCACAGCTACTGAGCCTGCACTCTAGAGCCCCTGAGCTTGCGTGCTGCAATTACTGAAGCCTGCGCACCTAGAGCCCATGCTCCACAGCAAGAGAAGCCACTGCAATGAGAAGCTCACGCACCGCAACAAAGAGTAGCCCCCGCTCACATAGCCCCCGCTCACGGCAACTAGAGAAAGCCTGTACACAGCAACGAAGACCCAACACAGCCAAAAAAAATAAAAATGAAAGAAATAGGAATGATTGAATTATTATTAGAATATCACTATTTTTGCAACCCCTAATGGATTAATGGATCTAGACATTGATCACCAATGGCTGCTAGTATCACAAGAGAGACAACCACACTTTATGTGTGTCCTGATGGAAGACTATATCATCACCTGTGAAGAAGTCTTGCCAACAGAATAGAACCTGAATCTGATCAAGCCTCTATATCAGATTTATCAAATTACAGGAAATGTAGGGCACAGAAGAATATGGTAAAGAACATGTTAAATGACTCAACAGGGATGCAAGCAACAAATCCAAACAGTGGGGAAAATATGCAGGACCTAATTTCTTCAGCAAATGAATTGCAAGAAATAAATAGAGCTGAAGGAGAGACATAGAGGTTGAAAGATAAGAGACATATCATCCAGCTGTAACGTGTACAGTGATTTGCATCTCGATTCAAATAAGCAGTCTGAAAAAGAACAATAGCAAATGTTTATGTCATTTATAGACAACCAAAAAATTTAAACATTGGATATTTGATGTTACTAAGGACTAATTATTATTTGTAGTGATGATGTTGTGGCTGTGTTTTTTGAGTCCTTATTTTTTAGAAATATGTACTGAAATAATTGCAGTTGAAATAATATGCCTGGGATTTGCTTCAGAATAGTGTGGGAGGGGGAAAGGAAGTAGGAGTATAGATGAAGTGAGTTAGTAATTGTCAAAACCAGGTGATGAGTACATGAGGATCATTATACTGTGCTGACTACTTCTGTTTAGTTTTGAAATTTTCCATAATAAAAAGAAAATGAACAAATAGCAGGTCTCATTTTGAAAAGGCCTAGAAAAAGTGTTACTATTAATGGGGTTTTAAATGTTTAGTATAGAAGATGAGTTTTCGGACTAAGGAGTTCTTTCCTTGCCGTCACATTAGCTAGCTTTTTCTACCAATATATATATAAATGTTCTTTTACCTGTAAAACTAAAAGCAAATATTCCTAATGCCAGAGAGAAGAAATGCAGAATTCAAACCCTGTAGCTAAATCTGAGCCTCAGTATTTCTTGAGTAGCTGTTCTCTTCTGATTCGGTAATGTGATCTGACTCTGAAAGAATAGATACCTGAACAACAAACATGAGATAAAGTATACCGGGCAACAAATCTTTAGTAACCTGATAAAATGCATTCCGTTGTGCAGGAGTGTTTGGGTTACATAATATCTAGATTGATGTGGTAATTATTCCATCTAATTAGTTTATTACATATTATTTTTGCTTTTATAACTACCATTTTTTGATTATTCCTTATGGGCCAATCACTCTGCTAAGCGTTTTGTATATCTTATCTCTGTTTTATTTATTTCTTACACTTCCCCATGAGGTTGATATTAGGTGTTATTTTCCCTCTTTTATAGATAAGGAAACTAATGCTGAGAGGTTTTGTATGTAACTTGCTCAAGATCACAGAGCTCGTAAGTACAATCTGAATTCAGTAAAGTCCATTTCTTTCCCCCGCTTCCCAGGGTGACCTAAATTAGAATGAATATATTCTAAAGGAATTTTGGCATGCTACACGATCCCATTTAACATAGTTAACAATTGAACCTGATCCTTATCAATGGTCTTTAGATTTTAATTCTATATCTTCATTAAAGACAAACCAATTAATTGTTATAAATGCTTCTCAAGGACATATTATTTTTTTTAACATCGGTATTGGAGTATAATTGCTTTACAATGTTGTCTTGGTTTCTGCTGTATAACAAAGTGAATCAGCTATATGTATATATATATACATATATACATACATATACATATACACATATATATATACATATCCCCATATCCCCTCCCTCTTGCGTCACCCTCCCACCCTCCCTATCCCACCCCTCTAGGTGGTCACAAAGCACCAAGCTGATCTCCCCATGCGATGCAGCTGCTTCCCATTAGCTATCTGTTTTACATTTAGTAGTATATATATGTCAATGCTACTCTCACTTTGTCCCAACTTACCCTTCCCCCTCCCCGTGTCCTCAAGTCCATTCTCTACGTCTGCATCTTTATTTCGAGAACATATTATTTTAATGTAATAGAAAAGAATGGAAGTATTAAAGGTTGTTTGTAAAGGTTGGTGTCTCTCAATGTGTTCATTTATCACCAAAAACCATAGAGCATCAAAACACATTATAATGTGTTACAGTGGAAGAAGGATCTTCCATTGATCCCAAACTGAAAACAGTACCCTCACTTTCAAGATATTCATTCCTTTGAAGGTGAATTTTGTGCAATAGGATGCTAGATTTAAGGGAATGGTGAGGTGCAAATCATTCATTTATCAACTCAACAAGTATTTATTGTCTATTATGGGCCTCTGTGAGCAAAAAAACAAGGATATAGTCACTGCCATTACGAATCCTATGGATCACTGAGAAATACAGGCAAACAAAGAAAAGCAAAATTAGAAATTGTGTGTCAGGAAGGAAAGGTCCATGTTGTATGTGAGTGTATTACAGGAACCTCACCTATTTTGGTGGTCAGAGAATTGGATCCTATACATTCAGAAGTAAATAGTATGTATTTACTCCTTGCACTTAAATTCTTGATATATATATATATATATATATATATATATATATAAACAGCATAATTTAATAAAACTTCTATCTCCCCACTCATCATTGCCAAACCATTTTGGTGTCTTAAAGCACCCTGATATGGACTTCCCTGGTGGCGCAGTGGTTAAGAATCCGCCTGCCAATACAGGGGACACGGGTTCGAGTCCTGGTCCGCGAAGATCCCACATGTCTTGGAGCAACTAAGCCTGTGCACCATAACTACTGAGTCTGAGCCCTAGATCCCACGAGTCACAACTACTGAGCCCACATGCCACAACTACTGAAGCCCACATGCCTAGAGCCCATGCTCTGCGACAGGAGAAGCCACCGCAATGAGAAGCCCTTGCACCTCAACAAAGACTGGAGAAAGCCCGCATGCAGCAACAAAGACCCAAAGCAGCCAAAAATAAAAATAAAAACACTGTGATATAGAAATTTATTTTTGTTTGTGAGAAGCCAGTCTTTTAGAACTTTTCTGAAAATGCTACTTTGAGTATAATGTTGAGGATCTTAGTCATAGGACAAACATCCTAAAAGATTTCTTACATGGGCCTTCGACTTGCTCAATAAATGTTGAATTTCTTGATCTGTCAAATTTACCCTGGTTTATAATTAATTAATTGTTTTTCCCATTAAACTTAAACCATGTAGCCACTTTTCCAGTCAGCTGCATGGGGAGAAGGAGGAAGACTCCTTTTGAACCTATTCAGAGCTGCTTTTCACCAGTTGATGGTACATTGCCAAGGTCAGAAAGCCTAAAATTAACTCCACCAGCTGTGTTTACGTTTGCTTCATATAACACATGGACTCAGGGGGCTCAGTCTGCTGGGCCTGCTTGCTGCTTCAATCTGCTGTGCTCTTAAAGGTTTGTTTGCCTGGAGTGCATGTTGTGCACAAGATGTGGTAACTAAGCAGCTTGAAAGTATGTGGGGACTAAGCAAATAAGTCTCTCCTTTAACCTCAAAAACACCTAGCAACAATGTTGGGGGGAGGGGGGTGGGGGATGGAGGAGTCCCTACTGAGTACGTCAGTTGAGAGGCTTAACTTTTAACCTTGCTGAAGTTTCCCAGAGAGCAGGCTGCTGACGTGCTGTCAAAGACCAAGAGATGATGATGCAGTTTCAAGGAGTCTAAGTTTTTAGCCCACCCATCTCCATGAGGTCCTTTAGCATGAAGGACCATATATAGACATAGAGAGTATCCCAACTGGCTGCAACTTAAAAATATCCTAAGGATCAGCAGCTGTTACTTTCACCCACACAAATTCACAGTTGGCTTAATTAAATTGCGCCTGTTCTCAAGCGCTGCAACCCTTTGGGTTGTGCCCTAGGTGCTTATGCTGCCTCCCCCATCTCCATTCCCTTCCTCAGAGTAACTTAAAGCAGAATGGATGAATGAAAGAGATCACCTTATGAGCGGTTCAAGGTTTGCATCAATATAAATAATGAAATGTGGAAGTCAGATCTTGAATCCCTGCCTAGACAACCACTGGACTTCAGGGACCCTTAGTGGCTCCCAGCCTTGGCCATTTGTTCTCTCTTGCCCGTGGCTGCTCTCACACCCTCTTCTTGGCATCTGTCTCATGTTTTCCATAGTTGTCATAGTCACAACCACAGCAACCTGAGCAGACCACAATCCTCTTATAGCTGGAGACATGAGCTACTGCTCTACACGATATAATTCCCCTGTCCTGCACCAATAGGAATCTGGTCCCAGATAGTCAAACCATTTGTTTTTCCTCAGGAGAAATATTCCAACCCTCCCAGAATATCACTGTCCTTATGGTCTATATGGCATCAGGGCAGCCAGGAAGCATCTACAGAGAAGACGACCAAGATAATCAGTCCCACCTTGAAATTTGACCAAGTATATCCAGATCCCTTACTTATATAGGCTGTACTCTGTGTTTCCACACCAATCATTCCGTTTGAGTATAGGACAAAGAGATTTAGTAAAATAAAACCATAGTGGGCAGGCAGATTTCCTATCCAAAATAGAGCTTTTAAAGGAAGTAATCTTGTACTCCTTAAGGGATAAGGAGTGAGATCTTCCTGGAGCCCTGCAGGATAAAGGACCACTTATAAGAATCAGTGAGTCAGTAACATTTTTTGAAGATCTACCATAAACCAGTCACCCATGCTAAGGGTGAGGATACAAAAGCAAGGTGCAACGTTACCACACTCAGGGAGCTCATTTCTAGTGGCAGAGACTGACTTATAAACAAATAATTGCAGCACGAAACCATCCCTCTTATAACAGGATTATATGCAAAGGACTACAGGAGCCCAGCTAGTGAAAGTGTTAATTTGAGGAGGAAGATAGGGTCCAAGAGAGTTTTACCCAAAAAGCAAGTCTTAAAGGGTTAGTAGACTTTCTCCAGGTAAGGAAGGGGTGATGGAGGAGTAAGAGGCAGACAATGGCATTGCAGAAAGATGATGTAGCACGTGTAAATCCCAGAGTCATGAAAAAAATACATGTATAGGCAAAGGAATTGTTGACTGCTACAACCATTTACACCTTAGTATGAACTCTTATTCATTCGACAAATATTTATTAAGCACTAACTATATGCTAGTTACTTATGTAAGCATTGGAGATATAGTAGGGTACAAAACTAAGTCCCTACCCCCAGGATGTTTACATTCTAGTGAGGAGGAGATATTCTGAATTTGTCAGTATTACCTCTCTAGTTGTATTTGCATTTTAATTATCCCTGATTATGGCATGAAATCTCAAGCCTTATTAAAGGAAAATTTTAGAAGAATAAAGGTATCAGGAATCAAGTAGGGAAGAAATTTTAGAGTCAAAATTCTGAAAACAAAAGCAGACAATAGTTCCAATGCTCATTTGAACTCCGCTTCAGCTGATATCACAGAATCACAAATCCAGTCCAGTAGGAGGTGCTGTGAATATTTAAAATACAGCCTTTAGCCATAAACTCAATGGCTGTGTGGCCAAATGGCAGACCTAAAATTGGAGCAGGTGTGTGTGTGTTTAGAAATTAGGATGGATCCACTACTGTGTTCCCGGGAACAAAGCCTTTTTCTCTCCTCGTTCTTTCCTCCCTCTGGTAACCTCCAGGGACCTGTGTCATCTATCAGAGTCACTGTCTCAGGGCTGTCATGCTTGCAAATTCTGTAAATCCTCCCCAGATCATCAACATCCTTCACAGGAGCTGGGGGCAGGGAGGAAGGTGTTGGCTACACAGCGTGGCTCAAAAGGCCAGTTCCTCCCAGGAGGCCTCAGTGGTTACTCTGGATAAAGCAGCTCTTTGTTCCCTGTGGTACTCTGTAGCCAACTGTGGCTGCCTGTCCTGCCATGGCTCTTAGAGAGCTTGTATAATCATGGAAGCATATGAGAATCTAAGCCAGTGCTGGAAAGGAACCACAGAATCTTCGAGAAATTAGAGGAACTAATATTTATTTTCTGTTGTATAATTTTCTGCCAGTATCTTGCAAAGCTCTTTATATCTCACTTAATTCTCACTACAACCTTATGAGGCACATGTTATTGTCTCAGTTCTCTGGATGAGGATATTAAATCATATCTAATATACGTAATACCAGTAATAAGTAGTAGATCCAGAATTTGAACCTAGGTCTATCTATTTCATGGGGAATCAAAACATCCTGGAGCTTTGTATATTTAAAGAGTTGGGATTTTAGGTAGTACACAAACACAGCATTATATAATATTGAATTACATAATAGGGAAGTTGTCACCTTTAAATTCATTTCCATTTCTTCTGATTATATCAAAAAGAAAGTCTTGGTTTGATGCTAGTATGTCTTTAACACCTCTCTAACACTTAGCCTCCCTTTTTATAAAAGAGCCCCAGGCTTTAGACCCAGAGACTTCAGCAGGCAGCAATATCTAGCTAGAGCCTAATAGTATTTTGCTCTAATTGAATTTATTCACATGTTCTTCTGCTACATGAGACACATAATACCGGTTTTCGGGCTTCCCTGGTGGCTCAGTGGTTAAGAATCCACCTGCCAATGCAGGGGACACGGGTTCGAGCCCTGATCCGGGAAGATCCCACATGCTACAGAGCAACTAAGCCTGTGCACCACAACTACTGACCCCGTGTGCCACAACTACTGAAGCCCGCGCGCCTACAGCCCCTGCTCTGCGACAAGAGAAGCCACCACAATGA